TGTTATGAGATGGTTCACAGATTGATTGTTGTTCTTTCTCGTTGCATAGTACTCCATTGTGTGTATGTACCATAGTTTGTTTATCCATTCATCTGTTAATACCTCACACTCTTGATTGTACAACATCAATAAAAAGAAATGAATAAACATTGCTAAGGGTGAAATAGGAGCCCTGGTGGCACAGTGGTTAAGAGCTCGGCTGCTAACCAAAAGGTCGGCAGTTCAAATCCACCAGCAGCTCCTTGGAAACCCTATGGAGCAGTTCTACTCTGTCCTATAGGGTTGCTATGAGTCGGAGTTGACTTGGTGGCAACGGGTTAAGGGTGAAATAATTGAAAGGAAGAAGAAAATCCCAGTGTAATGATTATGGAGAACCCCTCTTTCCCTTTCTCTAATTTTGACTGTTCACAAAATATCGAGTTTGATATTAGCCACCATCGCACTGTTGAAAAAAAAGCTTTATACTAAGCACCACAGGATGGAAAGATATAACCTTAAAGAGTCCTAACTCCTACCACCTGTTGTTGTTAGCCACCATCAAGTAGATTCTGACTCATGGCGACCCCATGTGTGCAGAGTAGAACTGCTTCATGGGGTATTCAAGGCTATATGATCTTTCGGAAGCAGATGGCCAGGCTTGTGTTTCCAGTAGGGCTTCGAAATGGTTCGGTCTGCTTTGAACCCCTGCTGACAATTTGCCTTTCTAACAAGCTCTCTGCTGAGAATTTGCATTTCTAACAACTTCCCAGGAAGTTATACATAAGAATCACCTGGGGATCTGGTTAAACTGTAGATTCTGATTATGTATACCTGGGGTGGAAATGCAAATTCTCAGGGAACTTGTTAGAAATGCAAATTCTCAGCGAGGGTTCCAACTGGCTGGAAGTCCAGGTTTCAAGGTACTTCTGAGTAGGTTCAAACCGCCAACCTTTCGGCTAGTAGTTGAGCACTTAACCATTTGTGCCGTCCGGGGACTCCTTTCTACTATCTAGGGATCTGTAATCCAAGATAATTAGCATACTTTTTGAAATGTTTAAAGATAGTAAAATGTATATACAGGGAAAACGTGTTATTTCAAAAAGTCTGTTATATTTTGTTACCTGGTCCAGAGAGGTTTCCTGGAGGTGAATTAGAAACTAGATTTGGAAGGGAAGATGCACAAAACATCATTCTTCAAATCTGTCATTTATGAAGAGTCTTCAAAGATTTTTTTTCAAATTTTTCCTTGAAAAATTGATTTCCCCCCTTTTTTGTGTGTGGTGTGGAGGCTTTCTAAACGTTCATGATTTATACAAACTGATTTAGAAATTTTAAAAGCAAAATTTGGCACCCAAGTATTACATTTAAATTTATGGAATAATCTAGGTTTTCTAGCAACACAAATTTTGTCCTTGATGGTAAGTACTTATCATTACACAGAGTTTTTTTCCTAAGTGCTAGAGAACCAAAAACAGGAAAGGAGAAACAAAATCCCTAAAAAACATACTAGATCAAAACTGAGTATCTCCAAGTAGTTCTCATCACTAACTAGGCTGAGGGGGTTGTGTTTTTCTGCAGTATCTCTGTGTTTTCTGCTGTCTTCCACACTCTCTGTGTACAATTTTATGACAATCTTCACCTTCCCAAATGATGTTAACAGGATTTTCTCTTCTACCACAGGGTATGGGAGCAGTATTTTTCAATAAAGGAGAGAACTGTATTGCAGCTGGGCGGTTGTTTGTGGAAGAATCCACCCATGATGAATTTGTGACAAGAGTGGTAAGGCATCTCAACAGCTCTATGAGTTATACAGAAATTGTTTTCACCTGAAAAGTACTTCCTGGACTATTAATGAATTATTAAGTATGCTAATAGTATTGTGGTTATGTTTTTAAAAAACACTCCTTACCTTTTACAGCTGCATACTGACATACTTACAGATTAAATTATATATCCAGAATTTGCTTCAAAATAACCCAAGAGGGGAGGAAGTGAGTGTGTGTGTGGGGGGGGAATAATCAGTTCGTAATTACTGAAGCTGAGTAACAGGTACATGGGAGGTTCATTATTTTATTTATATTATTTTTTCATAATAAAAAGTTATAGATCTATATAAAAACCTGATGAAATATACTTAAGGGCTGTTATTACCTATACCTTGCTCTGCATTTATAGTATATGAGATCCTTGATGTTTGTGGGAGATAAACTCCTAGATTTTTACAAATCCCTAAAATAACTATGAGAGATGTACCACTAGATCCTTACAAATCCTCAATTCAGTTAGCAGCACAGCATATAATTCCTTCCACTAAAATAAATAAACAAGCAAATAAGTAAGTAGTCCCTATAGATTAATCATGATTCCATAAATATGGGACTAAAAGTCATTTATCCCCCATGCGTCTGTCAGTTCGAAGATCATTCAAAAGTGGCTGAGCAGTACATTGACGGAGAACTGCTAGAAATTCAAGCCAGATTCAGAAGAGGACAGAGAACCAGGGGATATCATTGCTGATGTCAGATGGATCCTGACTGAAAGCAGAGAATACCAGAAAAATGTCTACCTGTGTTTTACTGACTATGCAAAGGCATTCGACTGTGGATGATAACAAATTATGGATAACACTGTACAAGAATCGGACTTCCAGAACACTTAATTGTGCTCATGAGGAACCTGTACCTAGATCAAGAGGCAGTTGTTCGAACAGAACAAGGGAATACTTCGTGGTTTAAAGTCAGGAAAGGTGTGCATCAGGGGTGCATCCTTTCACCATACTTATTCAATCTGTATGCTGAGCAAATAATCTGAGAAACTGGACTATATGAAGAAGAACAGGGCATTAGGATTAGAGGAAGATTCATTAACAACCTGCATTATGCAGATAACACAACCTTGCTTGCTGAAAACGAAGAGGACTTGAAGCACTTACTAATGAAGATCAAAGACCACAGCCTTCATTACGGATTACACTTCAACATAAAGAAAACAAAAATCTTCACAACTGGACCAATAAGCAACATCATGATAAACAGAGAAAAGACTGAAGTTGTCAAGGATTTCATTTTACTTGGATCCACAATCAACACCCATGGAAGCAGCAGTCAAAAAATCAAAAGACACGTTGCATTGGGCAAATCTGCTGCAAAAGACCTCTTTAAAGTGTTAAAAAGCAATGATGTCACCTTGAAGACTAAGGTGCACCTGACCCAAGCTGTGGTGTTTTCAATCGCCTCATATGCACATGGAAGCTGAACATTAATAAGAAAGATCAGAGGAGAACTGACGTCTTTGAATTATGGTGTTGGCAAAGAATATTGAATATACCATGACTGCCAGAAGACTGAACGAATCTTTCTTGGAAGAAGTACAGCCAGAATGCTCCTGAGAGGCAAAGATGGCGAGACAATGTCTCACATATTTTGGACGTTATCAGGAGGGATTAGTCCCTGGGAAAGGACATCATCCTTGGTAAAGTAGAGGAAGACCCTCTGTGGTCTCAAGCATAACAAGATGGCACAGGCGTGGGCAGTGTTTTGTGCTGTTGTACACAGGGTCACTATGAGTCAGAACTGACTTGATGGCACCTAACAACAACAAAATTCATTTATGGGGCTATTAAGATGAATTCTGTGGCTAACATAAATTCTAAACTATACTATTTTATGTCATTAGGATGATAAAATTAATAATTTGTTTATATTTGCAAAACCAGAGCCCAGCTTTTTTTTTTCAGAGACAATTCCTAACCTCCTGCACCTCTAAAAAGCAAAGATACCCTTCATTCATGAGAGGGGAGAACAAGGAAGCTGTACAGCGAGGCTGATAGGGGCAGTCAGGTGGGCACTGGCTGCCTCCTGAACATCACAATGTAATTCACGTTTGAGCCTCAGCAGAACTATGATTTATAGTATTACATGTTATGGGCTTTCAGGGTCACCTGCACATTGTTGGAATTTTAAGTGCTGAGACCAGAAATGTCAAGGATTTGATGTACCAGTCCATCAACAAACATGTTTTGCACACATGCTATTTGTATTCATTCACTGATTCAACGGCTATTTCTTCAGCACCTACCAAGCACCAAGCACGCTGTGCTAAGTGCTGGGATTACCAAGGTGAACAAGGCAGACAGGGTTCCTGCCCACTCAGAGCTTCTAGTCCAGCACAGGGCCTGTGCAAGGCACTAAGGGATTACTGCCAGGCCTAAATTCAAATTCATGGACCTGCTAGGTCACAGTAACTCCCATTCTTTCCTTTTGCTAGAATTGGACTTAACATTAGAAAATGCAGAAATTAAGATAACTGAGGAGCACAAGAAGCAATTACAAAGACATGTCAACAATGAACATCGTGTGGTAAAGACTGGTTTTCATCTGAAGATTCTAGCAATTCTTTGGCATGGCGATACCATGAGAATTTCACAAGAACAGTTGGCCACATTTAGGGAGGAAAAAAAAAAGATTAACTATGTGGCCACTTTAGAAATTATTTTGCCAATAAAGAGAGTAAGTATGCAGGGTTAACAAAAACTGCAGAACATCAGTTTGCTATTGTAATGGATTAACATTCAGGGTAATTTTAATGTAGCACATGTAGTTTATATTCTGTTAGAGCACAGTGAAAGCTTGGGCTTTCACGTCAAGAAAACTCTACAGTATTTGGTGGCTGTGTGCCATTGGGCAAATCACTTAACCTCCCTAAGTCTCAGTTTCTTCATCTGTAAAATGGAAATAATAAATACCTACCTCCAGTGTTGCATGAAGACTAAATGACAACACATCTATAAACAGCTTAGTATAACACCCACTACCTGGTAGAAACTTAGTCAAAGTTAGCCATTATTATTATTAACAGTGAATTGTGTTTTTTGAACTGGGTGACATACAGGTAGAAGAAATTAAAAAGATGAAAATTGGTGATCCACTTGACCGATCTACTGATCATGGACCCCAAAATCATAAGGCCCATCTGGAAAAGCTTCTGCAATACTGTGAAGCTGGAGTGAAAGAGGGGGCCACCTTGGTGTATGGGGGAAGACAAGTCCAAAGGCCAGGTAAGATCACCTCCATAGGAGGTTTACAGGGCGCTTGGCTTCTTAAATTGGAATGGATGATAACAATGTTTATTACAGCACCATCTTGCCTCAAAAGCAAATGGTGGCTTTATATTATGGTCAGAAGAATTAATTTCTAGATCCTGCCTGGCTACTTATAAGCTGTGGCACCTTGGACAATACAATTTTTCTGAGCCTGTTTCCTCCTCCATAAAATGGGATGAAATGTGCACACTCTGTTTTACAGGGGTGTGAAAATCAAATAGCAAAATGGATGTGGTGGGTCCTCAGCTGCAGAGGAAACAAGTGCGATGTATAACTATGTTACTCAGGCACTGGAGATCTTGATTCCTGGCACTGTGAGATTTAATCTTAGCAAACATGGCCTGGGAAGAATTTATTCCTGTTGTTGAAAGCAGGACCTGTTACTGAAATATGTGAAAGGCTCAATGTCATGATACTCAAAAGGAGAGAAAGACAAACTACAAAAACTCATTTTTCACTGTTGTAGGTAGTTTGTGCACCAACACCTTACTCTGAAAATTGTTAACTAGAAGGAAAAAAAAGATCATTTATCCTACATTTCCTGTAAGAATCAAATTTCAGGATAACCAAACAGCTGATAAAGGAGACTCTTCTTTGTAGAAAAATTCCTGCTAGTTAACGTAGAAAAGAATGATAGAATTAGGAAGATCACCATTTTGCACCCATAATTTAATGAAATAATTGATTCAGGCAAATGATCATCAATGGAAGTTAAAGTTATTAGGTGAAAGGTTGATAGGGACCTGGGTATTTGCAAGGTATCAAAGTATCACCCCTGAGATTGCTTGCAAGTCATAAGCGGAAAAACATAGCTTTACAACAGAGGAATCAGGCTGTCACCACCTGAAACCACTGGTCAATCACTGAAGGAGGGACAACTGAATGTTATATATTTCCTGAAGGGATGCAACGTGTAATACACAGCATCACCTATAAAGTATGCTTGCCAAAAATGTTTAACTTGGATCTAATCATGCCTTTAGATCAGACTTTTCCGTTTACAAGAAATACCAGGGGGAAGGGGAACAAATTAACTATCACCCCAAGGAAGCAATGACAAATCCAAAATGTAAGATATTCTACAGGACAGCTGACTCAGTCTCTTTAACAAATCAATGGTGTGAAAAAATAAGGGGGAGGGGGAGAAGGGAAAAGGTTCTAGATTAAAAGAGCTGCGATGAAAAGTGGGCTTAGAGAGGGCGGGCTGTAGCTCTCAGTAGGTAATTACCCAGTGGAGATCACAAGCTTTTATTTTCTTACATAGTGGTTAGGATGCAGATGAATGGGGTAAGATTCATTATGGGGTCAGCCTCACTAAGACCCTCCTCCCAGGGTGAGTTGACACAGGAAATCTCTTCTGCACATGTGAGGCTCCCAGTTTATGTTGCAGGCGAAGGGGTTTAGGGAACAGGGAAAAGGAGTAAGAGGAAGAAGTCTTTGTTCAGCTGCACCTGGCCTGACCATCCCGTCGCCAAGCTTTGTTGAAATTCAAATAGCACAGCAGCCCTGTCACCATGGTTGCATGACCAGAACAAACACTCCCCCACTAGCTGTTATTGTTGGGTGCCCTCAAGTCAATCTGACTCATAGTGACCCTGTAGAACTGAGTAGAACTTCCCCCACAGGGTTTCCTAGGCTGTAATCTTTAGAGGAGCAGATCATCAGTTCTTTTCTTCCACGGAGCTGCTGGTGGGTTTGAACCACCAACCTTTGGGGTAACAGCCAAACGCTTAACCATTGTGCCACCAGGGCTCCTCCTAGCCCCACTAGCTACAAGATTAATTACTTTAGTATAATTAGGTAGTCCCAGGTAGTCATAGAGACAGAGAAAGTTACTGTGGGTTCAGAACAGGGAGGAAGGCGTCTCTGACAAGGAGAAGGGACTGGCAGAGAGAAAGACACCCAATTCCTAGCCTCCCTATCAGAGAATGCTCTGAGCCCAAAGCCTCAGCTTAGGCAGCCTGGATGAGAATCCTAAAGGCAGACCACCCTCCCAGCACAACCAAATGCAATGTGTAGAACTTATCTGAATCCTAAGTCAAACAAATCAAGCATAAAATAGATATTTTTGAGACAGAAAAATTGAAATATAAACTATCAGTAAAGAATTAGCATTAATTTTGTTAGGTGAGATAATGAAGTATTATGGTTATATACAAAAACGTCTTTATTTTTTACAGAATTTGTACTGAAATACTTGGGAGTGAAAGTTATAATCTATGGAATTTCCTTTGAAATTTTTTCAGCAAGGAAAAAAGTGAAATATATGAATAAGTATTTGACTATTATTTTCTCTACTTTTACATAGATTTGGAATTTTCATAATAAAGACATTAAAAAATAACCTAGGAACGCTAATTCCAAATAAAGTCTTCCTGATTTACTAACCCAGAGGGGAAGAAAAATAATTATAATTAAGCAAGACAACTATTAATTGAAAATTGCCCTATAATTGAAATTCTTTTTTTTTTTTTTTTTCATATAGGCTTTTTTATGGAACCAACTGTGTTCACAGATGTGGAAGACCACATGTACCTTGCCAAAGAGGAATCCTTTGGACCTATTATGGTCATTTCTAAATTCCCAAATGGGTATGTTCTTCGGGCACAATTTAACTTAGGTTTTGATTAGATAAAAAAAAATTTTCCCTCTACTGTGGGGATATATGCCATTTAAACATGGCTGCACTATTGACAACTGCAGTCCCCACAGGCCTCTATGCTGCACAGCATGTTGAGACTTGTCCCCAACATGTTGAGACTTGTCAGGATGTGTTTTCCCAAACCTATTGTCCCTTTACTGATTGGCTTGTTTACCTGAATTCCTTCTCCCTTGCCCGCACTCAAAGCCCATTGTTTTGTTCACTGCCTTATTGATTGCTGTATTAACTATAAAATAAACTCCTGGGACTGAAGTGGGGGTCGACTCCTCAGAGTGACCCTCCTGGCCCGACTTCTCTGTAAGAGCTGTGCAGTTGGTTACTATCTTCGCGGTCCCGATTACCGTCGCCGCTGTGACACTTTACCATTGTGGTATATAGGGAGCATAAAATCAATGAACATGTTATTTCCTACCATAAGCATAACTGACTTAATTAAGTAATTAGGAGAGAATACTTTTGCTAACCAATGTAGATTGTAATATATTTTTGTTTTTTAGCTTTAATAGCTAGCATGATGGGATTTTTAGTTGGTTAAATTTTAGTTTTTGTATAATTGACATTTTAAATGCATGTGAAAAAAGGTAAATAACAGAAATAACAGAACTAGTTTTCATGCTTACATTCCTCGGAAAGGCAGGGTCTGTGAAATTTGATTTTCCCAGAGAAAGACTGCTGTTATCATAGATTACGGCCCAAAGAGCTTGATAGTCACCTTTTTACAGGAATGTTCACACCAGAAAACCAAAACTGTTGCCATCAAGTCAATTCCAACTCATAGTGACCCTATAGGACAGAGTAGAACTGTCCCATGTGGTTTTCAAGGAGTGGCTGGTGGATTTGAACTCCCGACCTTTTGGTTAGCAGTCAAGCTCTTAACCACTGTGCCACCAGGGTACCCAAGGATGCCCTGCTATCCCTTATTTCTCATTATAAATTTTCTTAGAAAATAGTTTTGTGCTAAACATGCAGACACTAGAAGCTAATTTGGGGAATATAAGCCAGGATAATTTACACTCTCTGTCCTCAAGGAAAGGAGCCCTGGTGGTGCAGTGGTTAAAGCACTCCGCTAACCGAAAGGCTGGCGGTTCGAACCCACCAGTCACTCCATGGGAGGAAGATGTGACAATCTGCTTCCATAAAGATTTTAGCCTTGGAAACCCTATGGGGCAGTTCTACTGTATCCTATAGGGTTGCTATGAGTCAGAATTGACTTGATGGCAGTGGGTTTGGGTTTGGTTGGTCCTCAAGGAGCTTACCACCTAACAGGGAGACAGACAAGGAGATAGGCAATTAGTCCACAAGGGACCAAAGGCAAGATAGTGCAATGAGTAAGAGCACTTCTCTGCCTCTGCACCTTAAGATCTCTGTGACTTTGGGCTAGTTACTTAATCACTGTGTGCCTCAGTTTTATTTGTAAAATTGGAATAATAAGAGTAACTATTTCTTTTCATTCTGAGGACTAAATAAGTCAGGTATTTGCTGCTGCTGCTGCTGTCATCATTATTCTTATTATTCTAGAAGTAGTCAAGGTATGGTATGGAGCAATAGCACTTCAGTAGTCCTCAACAGAAATGTATAAAGCCATCTTTCTGCCTCTAGTTCAGTCTATTAAATATTTGAGTCTTTATTATGTACAACGCATTAAGAAGCGTGAGAGTTTTAGCAGCATCTCAGTTTACTCCAAGCTAGGTTCCAAATTTCTTGTACAAATTTTAAAGTATGTATAGTCAAGATAAGGTCCCTTGGTGGCACAGTTTGCAATCAGCTGCTAACCTAGTTTGGTGGTTCAAACCCACCCAGTGGTGCTGCAGAAGAAAGGCCTGGAGATCTGCTTCCATAAAAATTACAGTCAAGAAAACCTTATGGAGCAGTTCTACCCTGTAACACATGGGGTCACCATGAGCAGGGTTGACTCAACGGCAATGGGTTTAGTTCTTTTTGTTTTATAGTCGAGATTACCTTTGAAAATCCAGCAGGAAGGCTCTACTTTGAAGCCTATGCTATTTCTCAATAAGTTCAACACAACTCATTTTCCCGCCAGTTTTGGAACAGATTCTCTTTCTTTGCTGGGGCATCATATGGAATACTTGACTTGCATTTACTGGCAATGCTCGTAGAAAAATTGTATAAATATTAGGATCACACTCAAAACAGTGAGATACATTATGACAGGCACGTTGGTTGAAAGTGCACCCGACTGAAGAACAACAGGTGCATCTCTCCACTTACCTGGGCACATACATGTACTGAGTTACAAGGCAGGGAAACCCAGGCCTACTGGAGTGATTACTCTCTTCTTAATTTAATGGGCATATGTAATTGGATTCACTCCCTTACAATGATGTGACACCACTGTATAAAGAAGCATAAGAAAAAAAAATTTTTTTAAAGAATAAGACCTTGTTGTCCCTGCCCTCAGGGCGCTTCAAGTCTAGTTGGGAGGTGAACCACAAATACTCGAAAAGTTAAGCCAGCACCGCATAGTTCATTCTACCAAAATCCTGAGTTTGGAAGAATATGTGCACCCTGATTAGAACTGACCTTTATTGCACATTTACCGGGTTCCAGGTGCTATTAATTCATTTAATCCTCACCACAACTAGACAGGTACTCCCATTTTTCACAAGAGTAAACAGAGGCACGGGACAGGAAGTCATGTGACAGGAAGTCACCTAGGCAGTCTGGCTTCTCACTTAACCACTGCACTCTCATGCCTCTGAAAGTGGTGCTGGTGAGGTCTAGAAAGGCTGCAGAGTGAACCACTGAATGAGCCTGAAGCTCTATGTGCAAAATCTGAATAGTTGGAGGGAAATAAGGGGACGCTCTGAGAATATATCTAGAATAGGACGAAGGAGAGTGGAGAAAGTGGGGAGATCATGAATGAGATCCACTGAAGAACATTAAAAAGATGACTTTGGATCCAATTTTAAAAGATGTCACATGGTATATATGAAAAATGTAATACAAGAGCTACAATACTTCATTGGGAGTTTGTTTTAGTGTAAGCCTGAACATTTCATATATAAAAATTAAGCAGGCTGGCAGGAATGTTTACCTGCTTCTAGTGGATGAAACAGCCTGGGGGCAGGGGTGGGGGGGAAGAAGATGACAAAATGAGACTGTTTTGCCTTACATTTAATGAAGTTTTATGTTCTCCTAAAAAAAATCTTGTAGGGACATTGATGGAGTGTTACAGCGAGCAAATAATACAGAGTACGGTTTGGCCTCAGGGGTTTTTACACGAGACATAAATAAAGCTATGTATGTGAGTGAAAAACTAGAAGCGGGAACTGTTTTTATCAACACATACAACAAGACGGATGTGGCAGCCCCGTTTGGTGGAGTTAAACAATCTGGTTTTGGAAAAGACTTAGGTATGGCTTTATTTTTCTACCCTATGTTCTTTTGTTGCCATGTTACAGAAAGGACTATGTTTAGTGCCACACTTGGGTATTATTTTGAAGGATGTTTCCTATGTGGCAGTTAAAAAACCAAGAAACCCGTTGCCGTCTAGTCAGTTCCGACTCATAGCGACCCTACAGGACATAGTAGAACTGCCCCATAAGGTTTCCAAGGAGCAGCTGGTGGATTCCAACTGCTGACCTTTTGCTTAGCAGCGAAGCTCTTACTTACTATGCTACCAGTACCCTTTTAAAGCCAGATCCAACTTTCTGCAAGTGGTTAAGAGCACCCTATGGGGCAGTTCTACTCTGTCCCACAGGGTCGCTATGAGTGGGAATTGACACGATGGCAACAGGTTTTTAATTTTGAAAAATGTTAAATATTTTTATTGAACATAACATTTATACAGTAAAGTACACAAATCACAGGAAAAGTATTTCTTTTTAGAAGAAAAAGATTAAAAGAAAAAAAACTCTGACAATAAATTTTAACTAAAATGTTTGTTTTTTCATCTGATAGCCAGCATGGCTTGGTTTAGCTTTCATGCAGCTAAGGAAACCAAGAAAAGAAAATGGGTGGAAGGCAACAGCCAGCTACCGCCAGGAATAAGTGCTGTCTCTGAGCGGTTTGGCACTCTTTCAGAGTCAACATGGCAATTGACAGGATTTTCTGGGAGTCTGGAAACTCAGATTTAGTTTGTAAGAAGCCCAAAATGTAATTCCCTGTTGGCAGTGACACTATCCCCTTTGAAGTACTAACCTACTTTGAACGCTAAATATGTTCCAGGCCCCATTCCAAGCACTTCACCTATATGAACACAAGCAATTCTCACAACAGCCCAGTGAGATAGGTATTATTATTATCCTTGTTTTACAGATGGAAAAATGGGACACAGAGAGGTTATCTAACTTGCCCAAAGTCATGCAGCTGCTCACTGGCAGTGAGAATTCAAATGCGAGGCAGGCTGGCTGTGGAGCCCACTCTTTACAGTCAGTCTGAAATGTTGCTTTAAAAACAGAAATGTTTGTGATCTACTGAAATAAATTTGATTCATTTGGGATATTTTTGAATTTTCTCTTTCCTGATGACTTTTGGCAATGTATTTCCATCAATAAAAGTAATCTTGTTTTAAATTCCACTGGGTTGAAGATAAAGGGTTTTTTCTTTTTGCTTTTCTATATCTTCAATCTGGCTTTCATCCATGGATTCAAAACATGGTGGGAGACCTTCTTAGAGAAATTGCTATTATAAAAGTGAGGCAACCATGGTCCACTTGTCTTTTGACAGAATGTAATCTACCAAATTTTAAAATCCCTTAGCCCAGTAGTTCTCAACCTGAGCTGCACAATGGATTAGATTTCACCTGGGATCTTTGAAAATTACAGAGATGGCTGATTTAGTTGGTCTGAGGTATGACCTAGGATCAGGCTTTTTAAAAGCTCCCCAGGATTTTTAAAAGTGATTCTAATGTGGGAGCAAGGTTGAGAACCCTTGTTTTAACTCAATGCCCATAATCATACACTCATTAGTTTACCCTTGGTATTCCTGCCCTTAACTGCTATAGAAATGGTACTAGATGATGGTACTAGTTCACAATAAAGAGTTGAAGAGAGGCAGACCTCTTTATTTTGTTGTCTGGACATGCTCTTCTGTGTTTCTAACATACTATATAAACCAGGAAAACAGCATTTTCCTTTTCTTAAAAAGATTAGACCAAATGATCTCAAACTTTCTTTCCTGTGCTCAATTCTGCTTCCTTTAATATATCTAAGGATAGTTTCTTGGTCACTTCTGTTCAGCCTAAACAGACAAAAGGATAGAGATGGAGAGTTTATCCTTAAGCAGGGAAATAAAGGAGAAAAGTTTAGGGTTTCAAGTTGACCAAATCAACACTCTCATCTTTAGAAGGCCAGCTAGTTAGCCCCCACTACTCAAAGTGTGGCCCAGGGACCACCAGCATCAGCTTCATCAAAGAATACTTAAAAATGCATAAGGCCCCACCGTGGACTTAATCGAATTAGAACCTGCAGTTTAACAAAGTCCCCAGGTAATCCATATGAACTCTAAAGTTTGAGAAGCCCTGGTCTAGGCCACATTCCATTTGCTTAGTGACCTATACACCTACGCCTGTGTCCGAAAGACTGGCAACGTCACATCGTCTTTCAACCTGGTCCCTCAACTGCTTTTCTCTTCCCTAGGTGAGGAAGCTCTAAACGAATACCTCAAAACCAAGACAGTGACACTGGAATACTAGAACAGTGCCATCATCAGGAAACCCTTGGCAGACAGCACCAGTCCTGCGCTCTCAACACTTCAGAAGCCTGGGTGTGCTGCAGAGGAGGTATCAGCCATGAGGGAAACACACACACATACCATCAAGAGGGTCAGGCCACGTGTCTTACATATTGACTCACGTGCCAGAGTATTTTCTAATATACTTTTTATACCTTAAAATGATTTGTAATTGGCAGTTGTTGGATTTTGACTATATTGTTTATTATACATATTTCTAAAATACCAAGCTGCTTTTTTTCCAAGATTAATCTAGCCAAGGTTGTTTAACTGAAAACGTCAAATCATGAAGTTATAAGACACAAGGTACATTTGTTGAAACCTTCGTATAATATGTACAGATTTTAACCTCTGAACCAAACATACAGTTATATGATTTTCTATCATTTCACTCTCAAGGAATAGTAAACCTTATAAGGAATGTGAAGGTAGTTCTTTTTATTATTAACATACGATACATCTTTGTGCCTTTGATGTTCTATTTCTTAACACACTGTGATGGGTGACTAACCCACAAACATTTATTGAGCACCTACTAGGTACAAGGTACTATATTACGTTCTGAGGAATATACAGAATTTAATGAGATGATCTCTTGCCCTGAGTAGTTTAAATTCTAGTAAATACTCAGCTTTTAAAACTAACTTTACTGTATGATATAGTGGAAAGTAGACAGCCTTTGAAGGCTCAACTTGGTTCATATCATACCATCTTACTATCTATGTGACTTTGGGCAACTTAGCTTCTCTGATCTTCAGCTTCCTTATGTGTGAAATGGAGATAGTAATACCTTCCTGAGGGGAGTTATTATGAGGATTCAATGCAATAACATAAGCACCTCTCACTGTGCCTTGTTCATCATAAATACTCAATAAAATTAACTGTTTCCCCCATCACTGTTTAAAAAAATATATTGAAATAAATTAACTAGATGGATTATTCATTTTCTCACAACCTTTTCATTAATCATTGATTCCTACTCTGCTTTTCTCATCCATCATTTTGGCACAGTTCCTGATGCAGCAGCACTGAAAAATGTCACTCAGTGAAAAATGGCAGTGGTACACGGAAAAGGGTTGCTTTTCTTTCTGCAGCTCATGCATCCCTCATAGAACGCCCCAATAATTTGCATTTCTAACAAGTTCCCTGCTGAGAATTTGCATTTCCACCCCAGATACACTGAATCAGAATCCATATTTTAATAAATCCCCAGGTGATTCTTATGTATAACTTCCTGGGATGTTTTCAGAAACACAAATTCTCAGCAGTGGTTTGAACCAGATGAACTGGTTTGAAGCCCTGGTTCTACATTCCATGTAATTCTCTGCTCATGTATCACAGGACCCCATCCACGTCTTTGCTAAATTAAACCGGTTGCCGTAGAGTCATGGAGTCATGGGTGACCTCATGTGTCAGAGTAGAACTGTGCTCTATAGGGTTTTCAATGACTGATTTTTGGGGAAGTAGATCACTAGGCCTTTCTTTTAAGGTACCTCTGGATGGACTCAAACCTCCAACTTTTTGGTTAGCAGCTGAGCATGTTAACCATTTGCACTACCTGGGGGACTCAGCCTTTGCTAAAGCAGCCCCATTTTGCTCACTTTTTCCGACTTTTCCTACTCCCCTCCTGCTACGCTGGACTAAGTATCTCTCCTCTATGCTCCCACTTGTCTTGAAAATAGCACTTACCACTGGGTACTGAAATAAATTATTTACCTTCCTATGCAGATATGAGTGGAGCCCTGGTGGTGCAGTAGTTAAGTGCTACAGCTGCTAACCAAAAGGTCAGCAGTTCAAATCCACCAGCTGCTCCTTGGAAACCTTATGCGGCAGTTCTACTCTGTCCTATAGGGTCACTATCAGTAGGCATCGACTTGATAGCAACAGGTTTTGGTCAGCAGATATGAGCACCCTCCTCCCACCCCTAAAGGTAGGCGGTCTGTCAATAATAACAACACCTATCATTTAGTGAGAGCCTCCTATGTGCCAGACACTATGCTAAGCACTTTAAAAATGTTATCATTTAATCTTCACAACAACCCCATCTAAAATAAGGAAGAAATTGATGTACTCTTCTTACTACCTCCACCACTACCACCCGAGTGAAGCCATCATCATTTTTTAGTTAGATTACTGCTGACGTCTTCCAGCTGGTCTTCCTGATTCCTCTCTTGTAAGGTCCTGTCGGAGCCCTGGTGGCACAGTGGTTAAGAGCTCTGCTCAAAACCTCTAATGGTCCTGATTTCATTTAGACTAAAACCCAGTGTCTTACCATGGCCTACAAACTCCTGTGTGGTCTTGCTCCCCGTTACCTCTGACCTCATCTCTAAACATTTTCCCTCTCATTCTGTTCTAGCCACCATGGCTGCCTTGATGTTCCTCAAACACACCAATCACGCTCCTACCTCAGGGCTTTTGCACTTAGGTTTTAGTTTGACAGTGGTGTGCTGGTAAATTCTTAACAACCAACTCTCTGTGGGGGGAAGGCCCTGATCTGTAGCCTTTTCTAATTTCTGTCTGTAAATATTCTCACCAAGGTCTATTTCAAGCTACCAACTTGCTTTACTGAACATGGAGTTGGGAACATTTGCCCGCAATTAAAGTCAGTACAGTGGGCGTCAGCACACCATTGCCGCTTCCTAAAACTCTTTCTCCATATATAGCCTCACCACTGGCTGCCTCACATCCTTCAAGTCTCTCACCAAACATCATCTTATCAAAGACACATTCACTGACCATCCTTTCTAAGGCAGCACATATGCCCCCACATTCATGCCTTAACTGCCCTGTCATCCTTTATCCCCCTTATCCTCCATTTTCATAGCACTAACCATTACCTGGCATATTCTGTATGTATTTAGCATCGATCTTGTCCCATTAGAATGTAAGCTTTGTAAGCAGATGCTTGTTTTGTACAATGCTGTATCTCCAGTCCCTAATATCGTGCCTGATACTTAGGAGAAGCTCAATAAAAATATGCTTTCAGAATCACACAGCTACTAAGTGACAGAATGAGTATTTAAGCAACAGAGCTGATGGTCTTAACCAAGTTGAGAAGATTTTTATTCCCAGTGCCTAAGTCAGTTCCTAGGAGTCCCTGGGTAGTGCAAATGGTTAAGCTCTGGGCTAATAACTGAAACATGGCTGGTTCAAACCCACCCAGAGATGCCTTGAAAGAAAAGTCCTGGCAATCTCTTTCCAAAAGGCCACAGCCATGAAAACCCTACGCAGTGCAGTTCTACTCTGAACACATGAGGCCACCATGAGTCAGAACCGACTTGACGGCAACTGGTTTTAAATCAGTTCCTGAGTAGCAGGTAGCAGGCACACATTGAGTATCTGTCAAACTAAAACTTTAGTAAAAAACTAAGTTAGTTAAAAAGCTAACATTGGCGATAATGGATATTATCTACAAGAGCTGCTGTGGAAGTAGCTAGAGCTAGGATGAGGAACCAAATTTGGTTCCCCTATACCTGTCCCCCAGAAAATAAAAGCTGTTGAGGGAAACCTGGGCTAGAAGGAAGATACTGTCAGACACAAGACACACTGAATAATGGAGTCTTTCATCTTCATTATTATAATACAAATAATACCCCAGTGGATTTTTAAAGTGATGAAATAATACCTAATTATGTAAAAATATGTAAAATGGGAAGGCAGGACTCTTACCATAATCTTTCTACACAGAAATAACGACAGATGATATCTGGGATTGTTCTAGACTTTTTCAATTAATATATATACTGGGATTTTGTTTCACAGAGTTAGTATAATACTGTGCATAAATAGCTTTGTTAACTTTTTTTTAATTAACAATGTATCATGAGCATATTTCTATGTCAATAAATGTATTTCTGCATATTTTAGTGACTTTTATTCAACATGTTCTCTATTCCTGGACATTTAAATTTGCTTTTTACTATTTTAAATGTGGCAATAAGTCTTATATACAACTTTGAGAACAAAGTCATACTTATTCAATCAGGATAAATTCCTAGAAGTGGAATGCCTGAGTCAAAGGGTGTATCAGTCTATAATCTCACCAACAGTTTCACCAAATATTTGCAACTAATGTGTATTATTCTTATAGCATAACACCTCACATTTAGTGAGTACCATTCTAAGCACTTGATGTGTATTAACTCATTAACTCCTCACAAAAACCCTATGAGGGAAATCCATTATTCCCATTTTACAGATGGAGAAACTAAAATAAATGGCTGGGCTAGGATTCAGATCCAGACAGCTCTAGAGCCTGGGCTTGTGGCATAGTGGCCAAGAAGCCCATGACTACTAGGTGTGGCTGACTGATCTTATCTCCTGACTCCACTACTTACTTACTGTAAGACCTCAGGAAATTACTTAGCATCTTCATGCCATTTGTCCCATCTGTAAAATGGATACAAGCAGAATATCTCATAAGGTTATGATCTTTTTTTTAACAATAAAAAAAAAAGTATTATGCCATGAAATAAGAAGTGCTGTAATAGTACAGTCTGCAGGATTACTTGGTGCAGCGAGGGACTCAGTGACGTTCTTTGCTTCCATCCTTCTGTGCAGACTTTACCCTCAGGCTGGCTCCACTCGTGGCCACTAGATGGCAGCAGTCCTAGGAATCCTATCCAGTCGTGCCACAATCCCCAGTCCCATCTTCCAAAAGAAACCATCTCTTTATGTGCCTTTTCAGGAACGAGACATCCTTTCCTTCCTAAAAGTCTAAAGACGACTTTCCTCATGCCTCATTGGGAAGGTCTGAGTTGCATGCCCATTGTTAAGCCAATCACCAGCAAGAATGAACACAAAGAATGCAAAATTAAACTATTAGGGAAAGTCTACCAGTAAAATCGTCCTTTTTCTTCAGGATGGTGAACCACTGACTTTTAAGCTGAGTTGCTTTAATCGACATAAAGAGAAGGAAAAGAAGGGTCAGTTTAATGAACATTTATTGTATATTCCAACTTGGTGAAGAACACTATGCTAGGCACCGCGGGAAACACGTATGAAAGTAAGATGCAACGTCTTCCTGCCTTTCTTACCACAGTAGTGGATACAAACTACACCGCAAGGCAGTTTTTTATAAGCACCATATTGATGCACAATTAAAATATGGGAATAGATGGGAAGTTTTCTGAATGAAATTTTTGCTTCAAAGACATTATACCTAATACTCTGACATGAAACTGTCATACAGCCATAGAAAGACGGTACTCCACAGTTTGAAGAGAACATGTTATCAATCTCAGCAGGAACAGTTCTCCAAACAGCTGCCACCATCTCACACCTAAACATCTGTCAAAGCACAGGTTGGACAACTCAAAGCGCAGTAATTTACTTTCCAACAAACTATAGGGTAAACTGCTTTAAAAAATAAAAATAAACCTTTTTTTATTAAGGTATAACATACATAAAGTACACAATGTTAAATGTACAGCACGATGAATTTTTACATATGTATGGATTGTGGTAACTCTTAAAGCACCTGGCAGACATAAAAAGTGCTCAGTAAGTACTAGCGAGTTTCACCTGCCAATTTGATTTAAAAAAAAACAAAAAACCAGTCTTGGTTTCATTTGCATTTCCTTGATAAACGGGGTTAAACTTTTTCTTTTTTATTCTGTAAATTACTTGTTCATGTCCTATGGCCTTTTACTATAGAGATGTTAGTCCTTTTTTACTAGTTTGTAAGAGCTCTTTATATATTAATGATTCTCACTTTTTCATATATTATAAATATTTTTCCAGCTTGTCCCCTGCCTTTTAAATTTCTTTGCTGCTCACTGGTTTTTAACATTTCTGTGGACAAATTTGCTGCTCTTCTCCTTTGTGATTTCAGGCTTTGATGTTACCCATTTAAAAGAACCTTTCACAACTCCATTATTAAATCTTTACCCACATTTTAGTATTCTTATAATTTTATTATTTTAGATTTAAATCTTTAAATCCATATATAGTTTATCTTGGCACATGGTATGAGGCTAGAATCTAACCTCATTTGAAATAGTTAGCCAGTCCTCACATTGTATATTGAATTTATCCATTTTACATATTTACTTGAAATGCTATCCTTACCGTATATTGAATTTTTATGTTTGCCTTTATTCTCCTGTCACAAGAATGTCCAGAGGACCTGAATTTAGTTGACTCCCATATCTGTATAGGAAGCCTAGTTAGTTGCATTACATGAGCTAGCCAGGGCAGGAGAGAAAATTAAAATTTTTACATACTGGAATCTATTTCTAGATTGACTATTCTCTTTCACTGATCACTCAGCCTATTTCTACGTGAATATTTTGTATTTCCTGAAAAGTTACGTTTTTATATCCCTCTGACTGGAACAGTCTACCATAGCTTAAAATGTCCTGTACAGTCATTAATTCATTTATTAATATTATTCTGTGCCTATTGTGTGCCATGTACCAGGTTAAATAGTAAACCAGACAAATTCACCTCTTCTCACAACATATCATAATATCCAGCTAAAGACAATCTTTACATATTTAAGCCAATGATGCATCACAGTTGTGTTCTGGGCTACACCGTATAGCATTAATACCCTTTCCAGCTGAGAAATCTCATTTCCAGATCTGTTCATCCTCTTCACACATTAAGGCACAGCCCAGGAAAAGACCAGGAAGGACCTTGAGAATAATCTTCAGAGTATTTACAAGGTGCCTTAGAAGAGCAGAAAAAATAGGGCTCAAAGAGAACCCTAAAACATTAGGCAACCAAGCTGCATCAGCTCAACAGATAGGCAGTCCTTTAAATTCTTAGATTTATTTCCTGAGCAAAAGTCAGGCTGCTGGCAGATCTGAGATCGCAAACAAGTTTAATAATGTTAAGAATGAGGAAAAACTCTAGCCTGGGACCATGCTGACTTCTGAAAGGGAAAACCACCTGTTGTCTGTCTTTGTACCATTCCCTCTGATTTTTTGGTGATGTCTCTACTTTCTACATTTGATAGGTCTCAAACGGTGGGCAGCTGTGTGGAACAGTTTTCATAACTGAGCAAAAAGTATTGCTTTATGAAAAAAGAAAAAAAACAAAAACCCAACACTCCCACTAATAGATTCCACATGTAGTCAGCGGCTGCAGAGTTCCAGACAGTGATCAAATCACACAGCACCAGTTCTCCAAGTCCAAACTGGAAATGAAGTTTTCAAATGAAAATAGATATACCTCAAGGTAGCTAAAACTATATGTAATTTTTTTCCTTGTAACAATCTTTTTTCTTCTAAAAAAAGTCTCTTTCATTGAACCTATCTTTGACGTGAAAAAAGTCTCTGCTGTTACAATAACCTAAAAATATCAGGTTGTTTTATCCAGTGGAGTGATTTTAAAAACAAAACAAAAAAACAGGTAATTTACATATTTTTAAAAATAAATTGGTATTTCTGAAGTCCATGTGGAAGAAACTGCCGACAAATTCACTCACCAATACGCATAAAGTTAAGCTTTCTAAATGCTAAATTGCTTTAGCATGCTATCAAACATCAGTCTAATCTGTATATAGTCCATTTCCTTAAATGCCAGCTTTCATTTTGCTGAAACAAAATACACACAATACTACATAAAACCACACAGGTACCTGAAACGCAAAATAACGGGGAACTGCATCCTTTTTGGCAGAATTAGCAGGCATGCATCATCTGTTTCTTTTCAGATCATTTATTTCATTGTTTCTTCTTTTTACTTGCAGGACTGTCCAAAACTTCTATCTTGCCTTTTCCACCTTCTGAATTAGGAAGTTTAATATTATCTATGGTGATTTCACCAGGAATGCTGATTTCTTCATCCTCAGATTCTGAACTGTTCTCTGAACTGTCTTGTGAACTTTCTTCAGAACTGTCCTCTTCTTTTGAGTCAGACTGATTCATCTCAAACAAGGCCACATCCTGCAAAAAGCACCAGGCAGGAAATTTACTTCAGGGCCACTCCCTTGTAAAGCTATAGTAAAACAACACTAGGAGTAATGAAGGAGCCCTGGTGCCACAGTGGTTAAGAGCTCGGCTGCTAACAGAAAGGTCGGCGGTTCAAACCCACCAGCTGCTCGGTGGGAGAAAGATGTGGCAGTCCATAAAGATTACAGCCTTGGAATCCCTATGGGCAGTTCTACTCTGTCCTATAGGGTCGTTATGAGTCGGAATCGGCTCGATGGAAACTGGTTGTTTCAGTTGGGAACAATGAACATTCAGCACAAATATGGAAGCGCAAGAAATGTTTTTAATTTCTAGTGTTTATATCATATATGATATGGCACTTTTATTCTTTTAGTTGCCATAGTCCAAAATAATGATTCATATTTACTGTAGGTAAAGAGTCTCCCACAACCTAGTCCTATATATCCTGAATATATCTGGCAATATTCAGTTAACAAATATTAACAAGTACTAACATAAGCCAAGCACCATACTAGGTGCTAGAGAGACTCAACAGGAAAAAAAAAAAAAGAAAACCCTTGCAAAAAGACAAAACCCTTATAGCTGGCAAACTACAGCCCTCTGGCCAAATCTGTTCTGCTGCCTGTTTCTTGTGTTCAGCTCGTGAGTTCAATATAGATTTTACATTTTTTTAATGGTTAAAATATCAAAAGAATAATATTTTGTGCAACATGAAAATCATATGACATTCAAATTTCAGTGTCCATAAATAGAGTTTATAAGCCATACTTCTTCATTCATGTAATGTCCATGGCTGCTTTTGCACTACAACAGCAGGGTTGAGTAGTCGCAATGGAGACCATATGGCCTACAGAATATAAAGCATTTACTATCTGGCCCCTTACAGAAACATTTACTGACCCCTAGTCTAGTAGTAAAAGACAGACAATAAACAAATACATATGGAAACACAGTGTCAGGTAGTGACAATAAAGAAAAAGAAAGCAGGATAAGATAATGTCATCAGAGAAAGCCTGTTGATGAGGTGACAAAGACCAAGGAATTCCGAAGGCAGAAATCTGGGGAAGAGCATTCTTCAAAAAGGCAACAAACCACAAGGGAAAGGTCTGGAACAAGGAGGTTGGAGCTAGATGCAGTAAATGAGGGGACTGAGCAGGAGTACGACCAGACAGAGAGCAGCAGGCAGGGTCCGCAGGCCCCTGAAGGACTCTGCGTTTATCAGAAATGAGATGGGAAGCCCCAAGGGTAACAAACTGCACCACACACACTGTGTGAAGAGCAGCGTAGGGAGGTGAGACTGGAAGCAAAGGAGACCTGCCAGGAAACTTCTGCAGCTGTCCAAAGGAGGGACCATAATTACTTGGATCAGGGCAGGTGGCAGTGGAGGTCAGAAGAAGTGGCTGGATTTGGGATATATTCTGAAGGCAGAGCTGACCACATTCGCTGATGAATTAGATATTATTAACAGTAGTGTCAGCCCCGACCAGACACAAGTGTTATAAAGGCAATTCCAGTGTAAAAACATAAACTGAGAGACAATTTTCACTTATGGCTTATATAATGTCATCCCATTAAACATATAATTTATTTTTGTACAATCAATGAATCAGAATATGATGACCTCCCTTGGGCTTTGGGTGGGGGAAGAAAAACCAGGACATTTAGTAAATTAATGCTTCAAGATAACAAATGTAATATATGACTTGAAAAAGCCTCCTATGACTCTATACTACTAAATCCCTAAACTTCACCCAGGGAAGCTTACAGACCTAAAATGATATAAGTACCTATGGGATACTGGGAACGTGAGCTGACTTCCCAAGAAGGAAAATAACATTTGAAATTAAAATGAAAAAGCTTTTTCTTTTTTTTTAGTGACAAGGCCTACTGGTAATTTTACTTTAAAAAACAAAACAAAGTATAATTACCATTTGTATAATTTTTCCAAGAGTCTCATCAACGTTTTCGATATCAAACCGACCAGGTGGTGCAGCTGCCATTTCTTTTCTTAACTTTTCATTTGCCTGGGCCATCTGTGGGAGAAAGGTCTGTACTTGGTCCAATACTAAGGGGAGAAAATATATCAACACTTATGTTAGCGTTTGGCCAAACTTCAATTTCTAAAATCCAAGGTTTCCTACAAAGCACTTCCGAATCTAGTAACAACAGTAATCAACACTTCAAGCAACTGAATTTCCTTGGGCAAGTTAATTATGTAGTGGTTGTTTCTGCCTGTCCACCATCTATTCCCCTTTCTTCTGACAACAAAGCCCTGACTTTCCTTTTAAACTTCTATGACTCTTAGTCACTCTTGTCCCCACACTGTGCACCTACATATTCCACAACCTTGGCCACCACAATTTGGTTCATTGGCATACACAGTGACAGACAGTGATCCAGTCAGGCCAGTAAGAGATCAACTCGGGACTTTTGTTTGAACCGTTGAGAAAGAGAACCCTTCTTTGTGGTAGCTTCCTGAGCTGTACAATGTAAGCCAGGAGCTACTGATAAACTGGCCAACTTGCCACACCTTGGGGAAGAGCTTGCTCTGGATTATGCTAGCACCTAGGACAGCAGAGCTAAGAGATACAGAGCGGCAGACCCCGATGACACTGAACACGTTTTGTTTTTCCAATAAAATAAGTCAATATAATTTTTTTTTTTTTAATGCTTCAGACAGTCTGAGCAGGGTTTCAGTCACTTGCAACCAAAGGAGTCTTGACTAATACATTCAATTTAACCACTCATCTATAAAACAGAGGTGATAAGCAATACAGCATCAGGATCTGCGGAAGACTCATTAACAATCTGTGGTATGCAGATGACACAACCTTCCTTGCTGAAAATGAAGAGGATTTGAAGCACTCACTGATGAAGATCAAAGACTACAGCCTTCAGTATGGATTACACCTCAACATAAAGAAAACAAAAATCCTCACAACTGGACCAATAAACAACATCATAACAAACAGAAAATATTAAAGTTGTCAAATATTTCACATTACTTGGATCCACAATCAACACCCATAGAAACAGCAGTCAAGAAATCAACCAACGCATTGTATTGGGCAAATGTGCTGCAAAAGACCTCTTTAAAGTGTTAAAAAAGCAAAGATGTCACTTTGAGGACTAAGGTGCACCGGACCCAAGCCATGGTGTTTTCTATCACCTCATATGCATGAGAAAGCTGGACAATGAATAAGGAAGACCAAAGAAGAATTGATGTCTTTGGATTATGGTGTTGGTGAAGAATATTGACTATACCATGGACTGCCAAAAGAACAAACAAATCTGTCCTGGAAGAAGTATACAGCCAGTATATTCCTCAGAAGCAAGGATGGTGAGACTTTATCTCGCTTACTTTGGACATGTTATCAGGAAGGACCAGTCCCTGGAAAGGGACATCATGCTTGGCAAAGTAGAGGGTCAGTAAACAAGAGGAAGACCCCTAATAAGATGGACTGACAGTGGCTGTAACAACAGGCTCAAACATGGCAACGATGGTGCAGGACTGGGCAGCATTTTGTTCTATCACACACAGGGTTGCTATGAGTCAGAATGGACTCAAAGGCACCTGACAACAACAGGAACAAGAGGTATTTAATTTCTTTATCGCTCAAAAGAGGCACAGCATATAAACATGCAAATAATGGGCTCTCAAAAGCTTATTAAATTGACTGAAATTGCTACCCAACAGATAACTAAGACGTCTAAAGTATGGAAGATGAAAACAAGACAGTGGTAAAGGCCAAGCAAATGACTTTTGAATGTAAAATAGGGCTGGAAGGATTAATGAAATCATGTACATAACAAAGCTCCAAACAATGTCTGGCCCATACTAGACAGTGAAAAAATGTTAGCTCCCATGCCCCCCTTCAAGTAAATAGAAAAAAAAAGCTGATAAAAATAAAGGTATTTCCATGCTGCAAATTTAAATTTATGCTCTCTATTACCAAAAGATGGAGAATCAGGTCAGATCTTATTCTGCCTTTGTTTTTAAGTAATGCCTACTCATCTACATGTGTGGTATGAACCATGATTCTGAAAAGCCAAATTATTTGTTTGACACTGTGGAAGAGTACATGCTAAACCCTGAAGCTAGGCCAGTTTTAGTTCTCAAAAGTACTGGCCATTTACTTTTAGATTTAAATTTTGAGAGATGAGATGGTGTACTCAAATAATCTCGTCTTAATCATAAATACGGGGGAAGTGGTAGTTTACTAGTAGCGTTCTCGCCTTCCATGCAGGAAACCCAGGTTCGATGCCCTCTCAATGCACCTCAAGTGCAGCCACCATCTGTCCATTAGTGGAGGCTTGCATGCTGCTATGATGCTGAACAGGTTTCAGCAGAGCTTCCAGACTGAGACAGACTTGGAAGAAAGGCCTGGTGATCTACTTCCAAAAAAATCAACCAATGAAATCCTACGGATCACAACAGTCCAATCTCATTATGCATGGGGTCATCATGAGTTGGGGACAGCAGCTAGCAACACCAACAACAATCATATATATAATAATGTTGTTGTGACACGAGAAGTTCTCTATTCCATCCATCACGTCTCACAGCTGACTACACAAAAGCCAATCAGTGAAATCACTGTCATAAACAAATCATTCAAAAGGTACTCCAAAGCCCCTGGATCCAAAAAAAAGACCCATATTGGGAAGTGCTTGTTTGTATTTAACTTCTCATACTGTACAGGCAGTCCTCAATTTACAATGGGCTCCATTCCAACAGCCATGTTGTAAGTAGGTTCTGACATAAGTCGAATACCTTTTTTTTTTTTTAGTTTTCATCATTGCCTTTTATTATCAGTATCTATAAATCTGATCTTTATTTGCGGGCATCAGTGTCATAACCATGAAGTCAGAGTCATAATGGCTGTTGGGACTGTGTGCAGTTCAACTGTCATATGTTGTTAGCGTTGAACACTGCCCAACTTTCTATGCATTAGGTCTCCCTGCACCTATACCAACACAGACTTTATTACAGACCAGGCCATAGCCTGCTATACAGCAGTGTCTGGATCAGTAAATCATAATACTGAACATCTGTGAGTAAATATCTGAGAATAATAACATCAGCAAATTACATGCTGCAATACTGCATGTAGTACGTATTACTTAACGATAAGATGTACAAAAAAAAACAAAAAGGGTAGTCCTAAGTGCGGTTCATCATAACTCAAAGACCACCTGTATATACTTCAAAATGTGACCTCAAGGACATTTTGATGCCATGCTTATGACAATCGGGATTTTACCAACAGAGCACATCCACTCTGTTAATTCTTTTGTCAATCTTGTATATCACAGTTAAAACATTTCCATTTTTTTCCCCATTTTTATTGTACTAAAATTACTTTCATTTACAGGGTCATTTCTGTTTCAATTTTACCATAAAGATTTAATTAACTGGTCAGTTTTATGAGTATATAAAAATATAGTAGTATAATTTCTACTATTGTAAGTTTTCTTCTCTATCATTTTTACAAAGCCCAATTTCACATAATGTGCAGGTTTAAATTCTGTCAAGGATTTCTCTGACTTGATGTTAAAAATAAATTTTATTTTGAGTATCTATATCAGCTCTAATTTTTCCTGGGTCAATTTTTGCAGCTTTCAATGTTACTAACAGGAATGGATTCTTTTGGCAGTGTCTTATTACAGTATATTTTACCATATACAGTTTGGCCATTAGTAATAAATGAAAGAGATATTTAAAAAAACACAATGAAGTCTCATCACAGTTGCATTTAACTTATGCAAATTCAACTATATGCACTTAGCAAAAAGAGAAAGAAATATAAGGTGAAGGTAGTTCCATTTCCAGCCATGATTTACCCTCCCAGCTTAACAACTAGAAAAGTGGACAAAGTATATGAAACAATGGTTTTCAGATACTGGACAACAAGCAGCCCAGTAGAGTGTTCTATGAGAGAGCAAAAACAAAGGAGGTAAGCCCTACAACTGTCCGAGCTTACTGCAGTCCCAAGCTGCAGTGCAGGGAGCAAGAATTCCAACAGACAGGTAGTTTCTATGAGTTGAGGACACAGAGGTCAAACTTTGGAAAAAACAAGGTGGCCAGAATTTTCAGAGCAAAATGCTGAGGAAGAAGTTGTATTGAGAGAGGCCCCCTCAAGTCTTTGGCTGAGTACTGATCTAACGTGTGTAAGGAAACTATCTGAGTGAAGAAAAGAACCAACTGAAAGAAGTAGTATACAAAACAATTCCCAGACATCACACAGTGCTGGGAACAGTTCATGTTCCCACTGGAGTGGGAAGACCTCCTAATACCTGAGGCATCAGGTAGAGTTCTCAGAAAGATACTGACTTAGTAGCAGCCCAAATCAGCCCAAAACAAAAGGGTGGCTTAGACTCATGCCAGAAAAGCCTTGATGGGACCAAACTAATTCCAAGTAATTTAGCTGTGCCCCAGAACAGAGCTCAATAAATTTTAATGGAAAAAAAAAAAAAAAAAAATCCAGCACACAACAACATAAAAGTCAAAATTTCTGGCATCAAATAAAAAGTTACCAAGCCTGCAAAGAAACACGAAAATATGATCCATAAGGAAAGAAAAAATCCAACAGAAATAGATGCAGAAATGAAACAGATGATAGAATTAGCAGATAAGGAAGTTAAAACAGCTATTATAAATATACTCCACAGGTTTAAGAAAGCATGATTGTGACGAGGAAAGAAATGGTAGATATAAAGAAAGGCTCAAATCAAACTTCTAGAGACAGAAACTACTATTAACTGAAAATAAAAATACACTGGATGGAATTAACAGTAAAGTAGATGCTTCAGAAGAAAAGATGAGTGATTTTAAAGACATAAAGGAAATTATCCAAAATGAAACACAGAGAAAATAAATTTTAAGGAACCATCAGTGGCCTATCAAGTGTTGGAGTCCCACCAGAAGGAAAGGAGAGAGAGAAATGATAGAAAAAATATTTGATTAATGGTCAAAATTCTCCAAATTTGATAAAAGCTATAAATCCAAAACTTCCAGAGGTTCAATGAACCCCAGGCAGAATAAAATGAAGAAAACTACACCTAGCCACAGCATAATGAAAACCAGTAACAAAGAGAAAATCTTAAAAACAGCCAAAGGGAAAAAAAAAAGACACATTATATAAAGTGCAACTAGTACTAGATTGAGAACAGACTCCCCCTCAGAAACCATGCAAGCCAAAATACAGTATCATCTTTAAAGTACTGAAAGGAAAAGCTGTCAACCTAGAATTCTACACCCAGCAAAATACCTCTCACAAATGGAGATAAACAAAGGCTTTTTCAGACATACAAACAGATGTCCAGCCAAAGGCTTGTACAAAAATGTTCACAGCACTTTATTCATAATAGTCAAGAATTTATATGTAAATTATACCTTAATAAAACTCTATTTTAAAATAATATTAAAAACAGATTTTTGACAAAGTTGATAAAATTCAACAGGAAATAGATAATCTTTTCAATAGATGGTGCTGATGGACTTCCTCTTTCAGTCCAGGTGGAGTAACAAGGACCAGATTTACCTTCCTGCCTGAAACTGAAAATTCAAGGGGTAGGGGGCAGGAAGTAACAATTTTCAGACATTGGACACCAGACAGAAAAGAACAGTGATCCCTGAGAGAGCAGAAACAAATGAGGCAAACCTCATGATCATCCCCAGCTCACCGCCTGGAGGGAGTGTCAGGCCACAGTGGAGGGAGTGGGAACTGATCCCTTTGAGGCTTTGCTGACAATGAGTCCAGGCCAACCTTTTGTTTTGAGCTGATACGACCCCTACTACTAAGTCAGTACGCTTCTAAGAACTCTACCTGATGCCTCCTCACCTATTAGGAGGTCTTCCCACTCCAGTAGGAACTTAGTTTCCCTGAGCTGAGGAGATGGAACTGGGAGTCATGGGAGGCCAATGTGGCTAGAGTTTGCAGGGCCAAGTACTGTAGAGAGTACTCTGCACAAAGAGAGCTCCAGATATCCACAAACGGTTTCCCACAAGTCTTCAGCTACTGATCAGCACATACATGGGAGGAAACTACCCACGACTGGGGCAAAAACCACCTGAAAGGGGCAGAAAAGAGTCCTTGGAGCTCATAAAAGGCCAGGAATGGTTGACGTTCACACCAAATATTTGTGTATTCACAGGACATTAGATAGAGTACTCAGAAGGGTATTGCCTAAGTGGTGGGCAAAAATTAGTCCTAGGTTAAATGCTGCTCTGGTCCCACCTAAGAGTGCTTGGAAGAATCCATCTGTTTTCCAAGTAACTTAGGTGCACCCAGAACAAAGCTAAAAAAATATATGAATACAAAAATCTCCAGCATCCAACAAAATTCACGTTTGGCATCTGATAAAAAACTACCAGACATGCAACGAAGCAGGATAATTTGACCCATGATGAGAAAAATCTATCCCTAAAACGGATCCAGAAATGTCACAGATCACAGAATTAGACAAGGCCATTAAAACAGTTGTATAAGTATATTCCATATGCTCAAGAATTTAGAAGACTGAGCATGTTAAGCAGAGTCATGGAAAAAGAACCAAATCAAACATTTAGAGATAAAAACTACAGTATCTGACATGGAAAATACACTGGATGGGATTAACAGAATTAACAGCAGATTAAACACTACAAAAGAAAAGAAGAGTGAACTTGAGGACAGAGCAATAGAAACTATTGAAAATGAAACCCAGACTAAAAAAGACAGCCCACCCCCCAAAAAAGAATCGAGCACCAGTGAGTTGTGGGGCAACTCCAAGCACAAAATAACATGTAATTGGAGTCACTGAAGGGAAGGGGAGAGAGAGAAGGAGAACAGAACAAATATTTTAAGAAAGAATGGACAAAATTTTTCCAAACTGATGAAAACTATAAACTCACAGACCCAGTTCAACAAATCCCAAGCTCAAGAACCACAAAGAAAACTACCCCCAAGGAACACCATCATCAAATGGTTGAAAACCAGTGATAAAGAAAAAACTCTTAAAAGCAGCCCAGAGGAAAAAAGAAACTGCATACAGCACAACAAAAATAAAAAAGACAGCAGACTTCTCATGAGAAACACTGTTTAAGTTCTCAGAGTACTCGTGATTTTTTAGTTTATAGAAGCAATAACCTCATGCGTCATTTACATTGGTTCCACTGAATTCTTGTCTTTATTCTCTTTTTAACATTAAGTTATACAGATACTAAGTATTACATGAATGGCCATATAAATGTTGTCTAAGTGTATACATTTGTGACTGTACAGTAGAGCAATATTATAATTAATAAAGAGAACTATCCTGTTGTTGCTAGGTGGTGTCAAGTCGATTTCAACTCATACTAACCCCATGTTACAAAGCAGAACTGCCCCATACAATCTTCTAGGCTGTAATCTTTACAAGCCCTGCTGGTGCAGTGGTTAAGAGCTACTGCTGCTAACCGAAAGGTCAGCAGTTTGAATCCACAAGCTGCTTCCTGGAAACCTTATGGGGCAGTTCTACTCTGTTCTATAGGATCACTATGAGTTGGAATCAACTTGACAGCAATGGGTTTGGGTTTTTTTGTTTGTTTGTCCAGTGTTTACGGGAGCAGACCACCAGGTCTTTCTCCCCACAGAGCCTCTGGGTGGGTTTGAACCACCAACCTTTCTGTTAGCACCCCAGCACTTAACCATTTCGCCACCAGGGCTCCTTGTTGGGTTGCGTTAAAAGTAACACTTTAACATTTAACTGTGTCCAGTTTAATGCGGTGTGGTGGTTTTTTTCATACATGCATATTAAATTTGGGGCTTAGTAACGTCTAAAAATATTTCCTATGGAGAGTAACAATAATTATTTTCAACTTGCAAAAATTCATCCTACAAGCATTTTTTTCAGGAGAAAGTTACCCTCTTCAGGCAATGGAAATCCCAAGTAAGAGTTGCTCCGCTAGACTCTCTGTGGCTTGATATCTGATTATGACGGTAGAAAGTGTCCCATCAAGTAACGGCTTAATTAGGCAAATCTGAGCATCAGAGAAGACTCTTGAGAGGGAGAGAAAGAGAGACGGAGGAGTACTTACAGGGACTCCTCTCTATCCGAACTGTTTGAAGATTAGAGCTCTTTCTGGAATTAGGCTTGGAGTTGATGCACAATCTGTCCCATATTCCTGGAAAAACACACACACAATTTACTATGCCATAAAAAATAATGGCCCATCAGCAAACCTCCCATGACCAGTCTTAAGTCTTGATTGCTCCGCATCCCCTGAGATATTTTTTACAAAGAGGTGCTCCAAGTTCCATTACAACTTGTTTCTCATTGTTTAGTTCTTTATATTTATCTATCACACTTTTCTTAGGCCTGTCTCACACATCTATGCCCCAAAGCTGAGTAATATAAATGCACATTAAACTGTATCTTTCTGGATCAGAAATTCATCAGTAGACAGACATGGATCTGTAATGACAGAATGGAGAAAGCAGTAAAGAATACAATAATGGTTAAGTGAAGCCCGGAAGCATTACTCGCTGTGTAATATTGGGCAACCTACCTAACCTTTTTGATCATTTAGTTTTTTCATTTGTAAGACATGCCTGCCTAGTTAGTTCCCCTTCAGTGAAGATGTCCAGCCTAGACAAAATAGTCCTTTGGAGAAATTTTGTGCCCATTCCCACCCTTACTCACTTTTCAGTTTCATCTCTCACTACTCCTCAAATCGACCCAACTCTCCAGCCCATCGGTACTCCTAGAACAGGATTTGTCTTTCAAAACTCAAGGCTCTGCACGCCCTATTTCCACTATCTGGGAAATCTGTTCACTCTCTGGTACCAAAATTCTGTTCATCCTCAAAGCAAAGCTTTCAAACATTTGTTGAAATTGCTACTTAACGCCTACCAATTGGATTTGTATTAAGAACATGGATTCTGGAGCCAGGCTGCTTGGATTCAAATCCCAGTTTTGCTACTTTCCAATGGCATGATCTCCAGCAAGTTACTTATCTGTATGATAAACCATGCCTCCATTCCCTCACCTATAAAATGTAGATTTTACAGATAAATCCTACTTCATGGGATTGTTGTGAGAATTAAATTAGTTAATTCCTGGAGCACAGTAAACACTACATAAGCTTTGGCTATAATTATTACTATTGTAACTCTTTCAGATACTCTGGGTTCTCACAGAACCTTTTCTTGAAGCTGATATTTACTGAGACTATGCCCAAGACCTTATTCACATTCTCCCTCTTCTCCAAAAATTCTGGAACTACTGTTGTTGTCGTTGTTAGCTGCCATCCAGTCTATTCCAACTCACAGTGACCATATAGGTCAGAGTGGCTGAAGATCAGGAAAGCTTTCACCATACTTATTTAATCTGTATGCTGAGCAAATAATCCAAGAAACTGGACTATATGAAGAAGAACGGGGCATCAGGATTGGAGGAAGACTCATTAACAACCTGAGATACACAGATGACACAACCTTGCTTGCTGACAGTGAAGAGGACTTGAAGCACTTACTGGTGAAGAGCAGAGACTATAGCCTTCAGTATGGATTATACCTCAACATAAAAACAAAAATCCTCACAACTGGACCAATAAGCAACATCATGATAAACGGAGAAAAGACTGAAGTTATCAAGGATTTCATTTTATTTGGATCCACAATCAACACCCAGCAGCAATCAAGAATCAAACAATGCATTGCACTGGGCAAATATGCAGCAAGAGACCTCTTTAAAGTGAAAAAGGAAAGATGTCACCTTAAGGATAAGGTGCGCCAGACTCAAGCCATGGAGTTTTCAACTGCCTCATATGCTTGTGAAAGGCAAACAGTAAATAAGGAAGACTGAAGAACTGATACCTTTGAATTATGGTGTTGTTGAAGAATACTCAATATACCATGGACTGCCAGAAGAACAAACAAATCTGTCTTGGAATTAAGTACAACCAGAATGCTTCTTAGAAACAAGGATGGCAAGACTTCATCTCAAGTACTTTGGACATGTTATCAGGAGGGACCAGTCCCTGGAGAAGGACATCATGCTTGGTAAAGCAGAGGGTCAATGAAAGAGAGGAAGACCCTCAAGGAGATAAACTGACACAGTGGCTGCAACAATGGGCTCAAGCACTGCAATGATTGTGAGCATGGCTCAGGACAGAGTCGCTATGCGTCAGAACGCACTCAATGGCACCTAACAACAAAATTGCCCCAGAGTTTCCTAGGCTGTAATCTTGACTGGAGCAATCTTTTCTCCCATGGAGCCAATGGTGGGTTCAAACTGTCGACCTTTCCATTATCAGTTAAATACACTTAACCATTGTGCCACTACACCCTCCATTTTCCAAACGTGAAGAGTGAGGTTTAAAGAATGTAAATAACTCTCTTAAAGTTCCACAGCTATTTTACTCGTGGAGCTGGGATTCGAACCTATTACTTTTAATTCTTTATCATAATGCTTGAAATTCTGGGTAGATTTCCTGTCACTGTCTACATGAGAGCAGCCCCAAGCAGTAGTATTGTGTGTATACTGGGGGCAGGGGGGATTATTACCCATAATATTCGCTGGCCTGCTCCCCACCAGCCAACTCCTTCAACCCACAAAGGCGACTCTATGACCCTCTCCTTTGAAAAGTTCCGAAGCGTCCCCGCTTCGACGGCCAGGGAGATGCCTGCGGCGGTTGGCAAACGTAAGAAGCACCAGCTCGAGGAGCTCTACGGCCCACACAGCTCTGACCCGGTGGTGGCTGCCCGCCCTACAGCCACCTCCGCGATGGCGGGACTGACAGAGCCCTGCGGCGCCCACGAGGGCTCCCCTCAGGGTTACCGGCCTAAGCAGGCAGCCTCCAGCCCCGGGCTGCTCGGGCCGCCACCCCTCGCCGCACGTGCGCGCCCCACGCCGCCGCCGCCTGTCACCTCCGAGGCCGCCGCTCTCCGCTGTCAACAGCTCCTTGGACACCGACACACCCGAGCAGCCCGCGGTGGACGAAGAACAACTCGGGCTGGGTTGCGGTTTACTGTGCACCTCCATGCTTCCCGCAACCTTCCGATCGAGCCGACCCAGGCCGGATGCAGGAAAAGAGACTACTGTAGAAGGCGGGACCAGGGCTGCCATTGGAGGGAACTCGGCGGTGGGCGGGGCGAGGGGGCGGGGCGGAAGGGGGCTACGCCTGGCGGAGCGACACCGGGCGGAGCGACTTGGTTGCGCATAAGCGTCGGGGTATTCTTAGCATGGAGCGCCTGGGAGGGAAAGGAAGGTTGGGACTCTTGCGCCAATTATTGGGAAAAAAAGCTGGTAAGGCGCTGTTTAAACAAAATATGTAAATGGTAACATGAAGAGCGCTGCATGGGGCTGCCCTCCTTTTCATTCTTAAGCAATATTTTTTGACCACCTGTAGTATGCCCAGACCTCTTCTAAACGTTGCGGGGTTCCCAAAAGCAGAAATCTTGAACCTGCCTTTTTCTACTCGTTTTGGAGCAGGGGTTCCACAGTCAGTCAGATTAAATCCAGTCCCAGATCACTCTCTGAGCCTCAGTTTCCTCCTTTATAAAATGGGGATAATAATACCTACCTTACAGTTTTGTCCTGAGGGATAAAAGAAGAGGACTAAAATGTATGTAACGACACTGTCAGCCATGTTGTTATTATCGTAATAGTAAGTTAATGTAACCAAGTTATAAAACATAGGGCACAAATAATTATGGGAGAAATGACAGTAGGTACTGAGATAGAAGTTGAACAAATGAATATTTGTTAATTAACTCTTTCACTGATAGGTTGACAAATTGAAAGTCTTTCCACCTCAGTAGTCTGGGGTTCTAGCCTCTGGAAATGTCCTCGAATCTCTTTTGTAAATTGATTGACAGAGACCAGAATCACCCCAGGGGGCATCTCTGATTCTTAACAATAATTTAGAATGTTAGACATTCAGATCTGACAAAGATAAAGACGCACCGGCAAAATAGTCTTCCTTCTAGAAAATGATGTTGTTAACCAGAAAAATAGCTTTATAAAATATAATGATAAATATAAACGATAGCTTTTCTCACTTTTAATCTCTTTAAAAGATAAGGAGTGTTTACAGCAAAAATAAAAAACTGATGAGGAGCACTAAATTTTAGAGGAACAATGAATCTGGGACATCTTGTGTACCAGAAAGCAATGAAGCTCTCAAAGACTATTAGGGCATGTTATGAGGACTCAGGAGCAAACTCCAAGAGATTCCTACTAGCCAAAGGTGGGACAGTTAGAACACCAAGAAGAATAATGTCTGTAGATGGTTGAAACACATCAAATACATTAAAAAGCCATGATTCTATAATAATGATAAAGAAAAAAATTGAAAAACCTTTCATTAGTTGCCTTTGCTGGTTGTTAGAACACCAACTCATTACTCTGGAAATTGATAAAGGCAAAAATAAAGCATTTTTCTAACCTTTACTGCAAGAACTGTATTTCAGGTAACCAAGTAGTTGATGTGGGAAAGTTCTTTTTATAGGGTAGTTCTAGCTAATCAATACACACAGAGTTAGAGTAACACCGTTTCGCAACCCTTATGGATCAAGCAGGAGTCCCTAGGTGGTGAAATAGTTAAGCGCTCAACTACTAACTGAAAGGTTGGTACTTCAAACGAACCCAAAGGCAGTTTGGAAGAAAGGCGTGGCCATCTGTTTCTAAAAGTTCAAAGCCTTGGAAACCTTATGGAGTACAGTTCTACTTTGCAACACAAAGGGTCGCCATGAGTCGAAATCAACTCCTCGGCAACTGGTTTGGTTTTTTTGGTTTGGTGTGGATAAAGGCTACAGTCATTAATGGATGCTGTCATGGATTGAATTGTGTCCCCAAAAATACGTGTCAACTTGGCTAGGCCATGATTCCCGCTATTGTGTGATTGTCCTCCATTTTGTGATTTGATGTAATTTTCCTATATGTTGTAAATCCTAACCTCTGACTGTGGTTAATGAGGTAAGATTAGGTTATGTTAAAAAGGATTAGGGTGAGATGCAATACCCTTACTCAGGTCACAGCCCTGATCCAATGTAAGAGGATTTTCCCTAGGGTGTGGCCTGCATCACGTTTTATCTTACAAGAGATAAAAGGAGAGAGAAGCCAGTACCTCATACCACCAAGAAAGAAGCACAGGGAGCAGAGCATGTCTTTTGGACCCCAGGTCCCTGTGCTGAGAAGTTCCTAAGCCAGGGGAAGACTGATGACAAGGACCTTCCCCCAGAGCCGACAGAGAGAGAAAGCCTTCCCCTGGAGCTGGCACCCTGAATTTGGACTTCTAGCCTCTTGAACTGTGAGAAAATACGCATCTGTTTGTTAAAGCCATCCACTTGTGTTATTTCTGTTACAGCAGCACTAGATAACTGAGACAGATGCTAAAACCATTTAGTGATAGCTTGACTGGAAACTATAATGACTAGATCACACTGACAAAACCACCGATCATTCTGATATCATTAAAAGTGTGACAACCAGATACTGTGTGCCCCTGGTGTAATGCATCAGGAAGTACATAGTGCAAACTAGTAAGTTTTTTTACCTCCCCATCCCCCCAAAATTAAACCTTTCTCTAACCAAGCCCCTAGTGCTAACTACCATTTTCCAGGAAATATGAGGAATAGCAGGACAAGTGAAACTACTCAAGAAAGCAATCAGCCAAATCTTGTTGTTGTCATCAAGTGGGCTCTGACTCATGGCAACCTTATATATAACAGAATGAAATATTCCCCGGTCATGTGCCATTCTCATAATTGTTGGTATGTTTGAGCCCATTGTTGCGGCTTTTATGTCAGTCTATCCGATGGACGGTTTCCCTCGTTTTCACTGACCCTCTACTTTACCAGGCATGATGTCCTTTTCTAGCAATTGGTATTTCTTGCTGATGTGTCCAAAGTAAGCAAGGCGATGTCTCGCCATCCTCCCTATGAAGGAGCATTCTGGGTGTACTTCCTCCAAAGCTGATTTGTTCATTCTTCTGGCAGTCCACGATATACTTAATATACTTCGTCAGTGCCACAATTCCAATGTATCAATTCTTCTTCGATCTTCCTTTTTCATTGTCCAGCTTTTACATACATATGAGGGAATTGAAAAGACCATGGCTTGCGTCATGCTCATCTTAGTCATCAAAGTGATACCTTTGCTTTTTAACACTTTAAAGAGGTCTTTTGCAGTAGATTTTCCCAATGCAATACAGTATTTTATTTCTTGACTACTGCTTCCATGGCCTTGATTGTTAACCCAAGTAGAATGAAATCTTTGACAACTTCATTCTAGACTTCAAATCTAGAATGTGAGAAATCCCACAGGATAAATAAACCTGTTTTATTCAACAGAATTATGATATGAAAAATGATACTAAAAAGATGAATTGTTATAAATTTTAAGATACTTGAGGCATATAAAAATAAACTTGGTTGATTTGCACATATATAATACAATATAGTTATTATTGTGAAACTCTATTCATGAGAGAACAAAAGCAGCATGTAATTGCTGACTTCAATTTCATTTGCTAATTGAAACTTTTTTCAAGAAATTGGAAATGAGGGAAGTAAGATTGCCATCCAAAAGTTAAATGTAAAATTAGCCAACTTGGGTCATGGCCCACCCTTGAACTAGCTGTGACAAGAAGAATGGAATTATCCTAATTGGCTTAAGCAGTCAGGTCCCCCTATAGTTCTCTATAGTAGGTAGAACTGCTAAGGTAGAGGGAAGGGGGAAAGGAAATTAGAAAGACACTCACAATGCCTACTGCAGTCAGTAATAATTGGGATTTGTAATTATAAAAAGAAACCCTGGTGGCACAGTGATTAAGCACTCAGCTGCTAACTGAACGGTCAGCTGTTCAAACCCACCAGCCACTCTGCAGGAGAAAGATGGCAACAGTTTTGGGTTTTTGGTATAAAGTTTTTCTAAAATGTAATTTTATCTTCAGGCTCATTTTTATCTTCAGCAGACTAATCAAACTGATTATCTATGCTGGTAAGTTTTCCAAATGAAGTGGTTTTACCTGGCTCCAAGGCCCTTAGGAACAATTATCTATTTAATTTAATTGCCCAGTTTTGCAAATCAAAATTATTTTATCTCTAGAGACATGTATACTTAATGTTAAAAATATGGTATAATTATATTGCAAATAATTTATTTTGGTTAGCCTCTTAATTCATCTATTCTAATTCTAGATAAATCTAAACATTTGTGTCAGAAGAAATACTTTATTTTGTCGTAACATAAAATTTTCACTCAGAGGGAAAGGAGAAACAGGATTTTCTAATAGACTAGTAACCTGAAGAGTATTCACCTTAAACTGGAGTTACCTTGATTCTCTGCTTCATTTGCTGAAATTTTTTAATTATTAATTTTTTAAAGAGCTGGATTTTGTAAATCATGCAAGGCATCATCTTCCTCAAAGTACTGCCCTCAGCATGGCACTAATAAGATCTGTGTCAAATTCTACTAAATATCAATGAATCTGAAATGACAGGGTAGCATTTTAATAAGGTGTGAAAATGTGCATGAGAAAAAGCTATTTCACAGTATATAATTCATTGGTTTTTATTCTAAAGTACTTTTCCAATTTTAGTTATTTTAATTGTTCACCTGGATCCAGTCTCCAGGTTCTTGCTCAAGCAAAAAAAGGGTATCTAGGGTTGGGTTAGGATTCACTGTTTGTATAAACCGTCACTTGTTCGCTAACTGAGAGTTTGGAGGTTCAAGTCCACCCAGAGACTCCTCAGAAGAAAGGCCTGGTGATCTACTTCTGAAAAGTCAGCCATTGAAAACCCGATGCAGTTCTACTCCGACACACATGGGGTGCCATGAGTCAGAGTTGACTCAACGGCAACTGGTAACTGGTATGGCTAGGTTGCTGGTGTCGTCCCCAAAATATTTAGAAGATACATATATATAATTAGGCCAATAAGTGGCTCAGTGGTTAAGCACTCGGTTGCTAATGAAAAGTTTGGTGGTTTGAACCCACCATCCACCCAGCGAGAGAAAGATGTAGCAGCCAGCTTCCATAAAGATTACAGCCTTGGAAACCCTATGGGGCAGTTCTA